ACTTTACGAATTGAAGACTGCGGCTTCTTTGTATGTATTGACTGTATGGACACTATTTTCCTGGGAGTTCAGAGACTCATTAGCATTTTAAACTACGATACATACGTTCTGAAATATAATTCCAGTTGTGTTAATTTGCTATTGCTATGACAAAATGTCTGAGATTGGGAGCAGGAGACATGGCTTGGTGGTTAAGACCTAACTCCCAACAGCACCACAAGCTGGAGATCAAGGCTTCAGCACATGGGCCCTTGGGAGAGAATTTAGGTCTCAACTACAGCACAGTCACACACTTAGACTATGGGAGAGTGTAGACATAGCTTTTGTACCCTGCGGGAAACCAAGGATTCCCTGTGTTGGGCTGTAGACATGGCTTTCATACCCTGTGGAGAACCAATGATTCCCTGTGGCAGGCTGTAGTGTTGTGCTTGCCCGTTGCAGTGGTCTGGAAATGGACCTGCCATATCTCCAGGTGTGTGTGGGCTAAAATGGTGAGATCACAGGCAGAGCAGGGAGAGCAGGCTTTCGGTTCCTCCTCTGGAACTCCTTCTTTCCCCCTGGTAGCCCAGAGGTGGAAGTGAGGGTGGAATGCGTGGGCATCCAGGAATGAAGTGAAAACAGTTGGGTTAGCTTGGGGCAGCGTCTCCACTGTTCTGGAAGAAGGGTGAATTCACATGTACTGGCTATGGAATGTGAGTTCTGTGTTTTAGGTGGTTCCACATGAGTCAAAGGCTTCTGTTTCTAGTAACAACTTGTCATACATATCATAAAAGTGACCAGGAAAATAAAAATGCCATCACAAGGGTGGAGGAGGGGACAGCAGAAGAAAAGGCTGAATATTTTAGACCCACTGGTGTCCCTTTCCCTTAGTCTTCAGACAGGAGATGAACTTCATCTTCATGGTGCCCCAGACGCTATATATCTATCTCTGGTGTTAGGTATTCAGGTCATGTGGTAAACAAAAAAGTCCCTTTCCTCCTGGAGCTTGGTATAGTGACAGAAATATTATTGAGTACTCCCAGTGTATATAACATGACAAGAATTATACCAGAAATGTTACAGGACTTTCTGAGGGCACTTGGTGGCAAACATAATCTACTTCCGGGATCAGGAAGATTGAGACGTGAAGAGAATAGCGTGGGGCTAGGGAGGTAAAGAGGAGGAGAGGACGTTCTGAGCAGAGGGTACAGCATGTGCCAAAGCCCGGGACAAGAGGAAGTCTAGAATTACAGCTCATTGGAAATCATCCTGCTGGGGCAGGCACCAGTCATGTAAATCACATTAGGAATTAATCCTTACCCTAAAAATTCCTGGAAGCCGCTGAGATCCTAAACAGAAGAGCAATGTGACCAAGCCGTGCTTTAGGAGGCTCTGCCTCTGCTTCATGTACAACAGGCAGAGGGAGATAAGGGTCAGAAGGGAGGTGCTGTGGAAATCCAAAGCCTGGTGGTGGCTTGGTTATGGAGGGAACAGGGAGCTGCGTGGGATTAAAGAGGAAAAGAAGTGGATTGGCTAGGGCATGGAGACTGGGGAAGAATCATAAAGGACTCTTGAGTATCTGCTCTGTGCCTCTGTGGGGAGAAAGAGATCATCTCTTTAGGTGTGTGTTGCTGATAGAAACTAAGTTCCCATGACAGTGCGGGGATTGAGGGAAGATTATGAGTTTACCTTTCTCTTCAGTTGTGGTCCCCTTGAGACATCTAAGTAGTAAGAATGTCATGGGTGTGTTTGTCCAGAACCTAGAAGCAAGGATTAGATAGAGGAAATAAAGTTGCTAATGAAAACTATAGCCATGCAAATGGATTAAATGGGCTCTTCACAGAATAGGTTATCCAAATGGCCAATAAGTATGTAAGTGCTCAACTTCATTTGCCAGTAGAGGAATGCAAATTAAAACCACAATGAGATTCCATTTCACACTAGAATGGGTAACATTTGAAAGGACTGACATTAAGTGTTGGTTAGCGTGCAGGACTCCCAGAGCGCCCACAGGCTCCCCACGAACAGGTAAGGTTGTACAACCACTTTGGAAAACAGGCAGGCAGGTTTTGCAGAGATTAAACATCCTCACCGCACAGCCTAGCGATGCAGTCTCAGACACTCGCCCAAGGAAAACCAAAATAGCCTTCCCACAAAAGACCTGTGACCTAATAGTCACTGCAAATGTCCTTATCATAGCTTCCAAATGAAAACATCTGGGACAGGCCTCAATTATAGATAGCATCACTGATTCTGGTATGTCCATGCGGCAAAATACCATTCTCCAATTCAGAGAAGAAAACCACTGGTACGTGTAACAAGAATGCCATTGGTGTGTTTGTGGGTTAAAAACACACGATTAAAGAGTACCTGCTTAGCATCTTGCCTATATCAATTCTGCTTGTCACTGTCATTTTGCCCTCCGGGTGACCCTGATGCGTATCCAAAGGGTGGGACAAACAATACTAAGATCATCATCTGAATGGTTTGCTAGGGATTGGTGGTGGGCCTGTTTCTTAACTGATGTGGTAAATGTTAACAGTTTTGAGAAAGGTTGGGGAACTTCTCGTAGGCCACAGTCCATTTAGGTCCAGCCCAGCACGGGGGTGTCCTCCTGTCTGGAGGTGTGCACATGCACTCGGCTGCTGTCCTTTGTTCTGGGACTTGCTCTACCCTCAGCCTCCAGCTCTTCCGCTCCAAGCCTGGAGCGTGCTGACTGTGATTTGCTGTGGGAGCACATTCTGCTCCTTCAGCCAATAGCCTTTGAGATACTAGCTCACTTGGATGTGGTCTCTTATACTGTAAAAGCAGTGGTAAACATGCGCCTACTCTCATGCTTCCAGCTGTTAGACTGTTCCTATTCGCACACTGTCTAGGACAGTGATCTGTAAGTTTTCCTCTTAAATAAATAACCCTTTTATTATTCATAATTCTTAACTGGTGCGGGATTGTTTTGTGACTGATGTCTTTGGTGATTGAAGTTGGATGACGTTCAAGAATGCGCAAAACTAATGTCCAGAGACAGAAATCTGATCAGAGGTTGCTGGGGCAGAGGTGGGGTGGGGTTGTTGCAAAAGGTTGGGTCGGTTTGGATTCTGAGAAGTATTGGGACTGTCCTGTACCTTGACGGGAGTAGCTGCAAGGCCAGATGTACTTGTTAAAACTCACAGACCTGTACACGGACATGTGTGAACATTCCTGTAGGGAAATTAGAACTTAAGAAAATATTTTTAGGAGATTTACTAAATGACGAGGGAAGAGAAGGTGAAGCTGTGTTAATCTTACCAGCAGGTGCAAGATATTGCTTTCCCTGTATTAACCCTATATCACCCATAGAAGAATGGGGCTCAGAGAAGTGACGTGATTTCCTTATGATCACACAGCAACTAAGTAGTAAAGCTGAGGCTAGAACTCAAAACCATCTGGTCCTGGGGTAATTTCTTTTTCAGTCCCTCCCATCAGCTAGGCCTACCCTGTGGCCGAGCATGGTCGCGAAGCAGTTGGCTCTGTGGGCTCAGCCTGGGACTGACCAGTTCTGTGCTGTGTTCTGTGTGTGAAGATAAGATTCCTGACCTTCCTCATCCACACAGGTGCATTGATGGTAGAGGGTAAGGATCATGGTACCGATGGTTTGTTCAGAGCTGTCCATGTGATGACAATGAGTCACCATATCTGAAGGTACCTGCAACAAGAGGTTTGGTCTTGATTGGGGTTTGTCCTGGTCCTACCAGACACCCTGAGAGCCAAAATCAGATCTGTTTGAAGGGGAAAATCTGTCCTGTTCCAAGCTGCATGTGCCTGTGACATGGATCCAGATGCTTTAGAGCCCCAAAGGCCCTAAGGACAGTGCCATCCAAAGGCCTTTCCCAACCCTGGTTCCTCTGGTCAACCCCAGCACCCCAGGCCTGATCTTTCCCTAGGGTTGAGGTCGGACTTTCCTTTGGGCGGCCAACTCACAAATAGCTACACAGAGACTTATTATTAATTACAAAAACTTGGTCTTAGCTCTTTTCCCCAACTAGTTCTTACAACTTGAATTAGCCTGTTTTTTATTAATCTACATTCTGCCAAGTGGCTCAATTACCTCTCCTCTGTACCAAGGCTCAATTATCTCTCTCCTGTGCCATATGTCTGACTTCTTCAGTGTCTTGTCTCTCTGCCTCTCTTCTTCTCAGAGTTCTTCTCTCTTCCCAGATGTCCTGCCTATTCTCTCCTGCCTAGCTACTGGCCACTCAGCTTTTTTATTAAACCAATCACAATGACACATCTTCACACAGTGTAAGCAAATATCCTGTAACACAGGGCTGGTTCCTCGGTCTCACAGGCTTCTTCTGCCTTCCAGCCAGGTTTAATGCCACATTGTCCCAAGAGGGGTTTCTGAGACCAGGAATCCATAACCACCACCTCCTCAGCAACCTGTCAGTATTTCCTATTCCCTGGGCAGTGCTTTGTAATATTTGACAGTAGTGGAGCGTAAAAACCCTGGAAGGGAGCAATTAAAATTCTGAATAGAAGAAAACAAAGCAAAGAGCAGGGTGTGCTCCCTACCCCTGTGAAGTCCCCATGATGAGGGGACATGATCTCCTTATAATTCTACAGTTAGGGCCTTGGGTTTCCATATATGCATCACTGACATGAATGTTGAGGCATTTCCTGCTATGGGTTATGGAAAGGACTGGAAACCCATAGAATATTGTTAAGACAGGCACCAGGCACCTTTCTTGCTTCTGGGTGTACCCCTCCACTCCACATCCTCCATCCTAACTGTGCAGAGTACCCCTACAAACTCCTTACTATCAGCCCAGGGGCCCTTTCTCAGCCTTTGTCTTCCAAGTTCCTTCTTTAGCCACTGCAAATCTATTTGACAAACACCTGTCTGAAACCCTCTCGCTTCTCCCTAGTCAGCGCTCATCACCCTTATCACCAAGTCTTCTGTTCCCACGGGACATTTGCATACACCCCTCGTAGCATATTTTATTCTGCTTGAATAAAGGTTAATTCAAATGTCACTCTCTCCCAGCTGTCCTGGGTGCTGGGAGCAGATCTAACTCATCTTTGTTTTTCTCTGCATGCGGCTCAGTGCCTGGCACAGTGGAATCCCTGAGGAAGTGCTGGCTTCCTTGTTTCAGCTGGATCTTTAAGTAGTCCCACGAGGTGAGTATTAGGGTTCCAATTTTGCACAGAAGGCAAGTGGGGCTCTGAGAAGTTAGGCAGCTTGCCCAAGGCACACAGCTAATTTACAAGTAGATGGCAGAGAAAGTCAATTGACTTTCCTGGGTTGGAGACCCGGCCTCTGAATGCTCTCTTAGCTGTGAACATGGGTTCTGATGCAGGCTTCTCAGATCTTGGCCTAGCGGAGAGATGTGAAACACTCCAGTCACCCAGATCTTCTCAGAGTTGGTGGAAGAGCCTCTTGGGACCCAGTGGGCTCTGGAATATGGGAGGAAGGTGGACCACCTTGAGAGAACCTGGAGTTGGAGGAGAGACTGAGACAGACAGGAAGAGGACACCAGAGAATAAAAGGACCCAGGCAGAGACTCACATCAAAGGGGCTGAGGACTATAGAAAAAGAAGGAGGGATAAGACAGGAGCCAGGAAAGAGGGGGCAGAGAGCAGAGGAGGGAGCCAGGCTGAAGAAGGATCAACAAACAGAAGGAGACACACACAAGGTGTAGTAAAAGGAGCGGCAGGCTGCGTCCCACCGCCCTGCTCCTGGCTAGCTTTTCCCAAAATTATTACATAGAAACTGTATTCATTTAAACACTGCCTGGTCCATTAGTTCTAGCTTCTTATTGGCTAACTCTCACATCTTGATTAACCCATTTCTAATAATCTGTATGTCACCACATGACTGTGGCTTACCGGGAGAGATTCATGTCTGACCTGGCCGCTGACTCCATGGTGGCTCTCTCTGCCTCTCTTCTTTCTCCCGGCATCCTGTTCTGTCTACTCTGCCCACCTGATTTTCTGCCCTATCAAATGGCCAAGGCAGCCTCTTTATTTAACCAACGTAAGTAACACATAGAGAGAAGACCCTCCTCCACCAACAAGGCTAGCCAGAGCAAAGCTGGTTGGGCTCACTGTGGATTTTTGACTTTGCCTAGCACCTCCCAAGGGCCCTGTTTCTCCAGGAACTGGTGTTCCCCACCTTCTGAGCCTCATTTGAGATACCTGGTCACATTGTACCCACAGTCAAGAAACAGAGGACAGTGTGCTGTGCTGTGCTGTGCTGTGCTATGCTATGCTGTGCTGTGCTGTGCTGTGCTCAGCTTGCTTTCTCCAGGGTGCTGCCCCGGGGTCCTGGCTCAGGGAATGGCACCACCCACAGTAGACACCCCTTCTCACTTCAGAGACTCTCTTCAAGATAATCCTCCACAGGCATGCCTAGAGGCCCGTGTTCCACGTGGTCCTAGAGCTCCTCAGGTTGACACCTGCACTTAACAGTTACAAAGCATCGGTGCGGAGGAAAGCTGGAGGTCCTCTTTTCTGACCCCCAGACTGGGAGCTCAGTGGTGAGGGGGGCTTGATCTGAAGTTGGACATCTTTTCATGTACAGCCAGGGTGTGTCATAGTCTTGGACATCCTTTCTTGCACAGCGAGAATGTGTCACAGTCTTAATCTCCCGAAGCAGACCTCTGTGTGACTCAAAGTTATTCTGGTCCTTTGATCCTTATGTGGTCTAGCAAAAGGTTCTGCTGCTGCCAAGAGCAGGGCTTCTCTCCATGCGGTCACGCACTCAGAAACTGTCTTCTTAATCTGAGCACCTTTCGTTCTGTGCAAAACTCAGAGGGTTTTCAAAATCATTATGTCCTGATTTCTCCTTTTAAAAATCTTTAAAATCAGTTTTCCCCTTAATTTATCTCTCTCCTCTCACATTATAATTAATAAACCCAAGAATCAGGTAGCATCTTCTACACCTTGCTTGCAGTCTCCTCAGCCTGATAGTTGACTTATTACTTAAAGGGCCGGCTTCTCACTATAAGCACTGGGGTCTCGTTATCTAAGTGTTCTGCTTCTACCTTGTAAGAATCACCCCTCTTCCAACTTCTATTAAAATTGCCAGTCCTTTAAGGCTGACACATTCAAGGTAGCCCGGTGATGCAGGCTTTCTCTGCTGCCCTCCTTCCTACAGCTTCGCCCGATGCATGCACCTGTAGGCCACTGCAATTAATGGTTCTATCACGAAATGTTCCCCACAGGCACTTGTGCTTCAATACTTAGTTCCTGTCTGTGGCACTGTTTTGGGAGATAATGGAACCTTTAAGAAATGAGGTCTGACTATCTAAAGTGGGTCACAGGGTGCAGGCTGATCATTTATAGCTGGCCCTGGTTCTGGTTCTGGGTAGGAATCTCTTTCTACTTCCCATCTACTGTGATGATGGAACAGGCTGTCCGCTCCACTGCACTAACACAGAGCCAGGCCTCCCCTTAAGTTATTCTTGGCTAGGTACATGGTCACAGCATTGAGGAACTAATACACTGTTGTGTGGTGAAGAAAGATATTTCACCTCATGGCTGTTGGAGTCTGAGGCAGGTTTATCATGAGTTCAAGGCTGCCTGAACTATATAGCTGAAGACTGTCTCCAAACGCCTATAAATACATAAAACAAAATCTTTCAGCCTCCAACCTTTGTACAATTCCAAGGCTAGGGCGATATTGTCAGGGCAGAAAGACTAAATCTAGATTCTGTGTCTGTCGCTATGCATTGATTTTGCCACAAAAATAGAGGCTAAAAGTCACATATATTTATCTTCTCACAGTTTCTGTATAGGTCAGGAAATGGATTGTGGCTTAACTGGGTCTTTGTTACGGCCTTAATAAACATGTCCATAGGAAAGAAAGTAGATTTGAAGTTGCCAGGAACTGGTAGAGGGAAAGGATCTGCGATGGCAAGGTTTGGGAACTGGATGTGGGGGCATGTACCTATGATCCCAGCCCTCCAGAGGCTGGGGGTGGTTATAACTTTGAGACTAGCCTGGGTTACATAGCAAGTTTTAGGCTGTCTCAAAAACCAAACCAGGTTTTGGATTCACCTAGAGGTGTGGTGGTCTAACCTTGTGAACATATTGAGAATACCAATGCTTCGGAGCTAGATCCTAATCTTCTAAGCTGAGGTGGCTATTTTGATCATCAACTTGACAGGATACATAGTTTATTATAAAGAAGACTGTTATCATTTATAAAGAGATAGTGGGGGAGCAGTCCCACGAGGGGCGGCGAGAAGCAGATAGATAGATAGATAGATAGATAGATAGATAGATAGATAGATAGATAGATAGATAGATAGATAGATAGATAGTCCATACAGAGAGCTTTGGGGTATAGAGTTTATTTAGTGGGTTATGGAGGGAGAAGGGAAGGGGGAAGGGGAAAAGGAAGAAGGGGGAGAAGAGAGAGAGGCAGAAGCTGCTTCTCCAGAAGAAGGGCAGATGAAAGAGAGAGAGAGAGAGAGAGAGAGAGAGAGAGAGAGAGAGAGAGAGAGTTGCTTGCCTGAAAATGGAGGTTGGGGGTGGGTGGGACTTGTCTCTTAAAGGAACAGGGTACCCAGGTGACAGACTAGGCCAGCAGATTATATTCCCATCTTTTTCTTATAATAAAAAGGTGGGAGTTGGGCATAGCAGGTTGAAGGAAAGGAGATGATGGATTCTCAAGACTGAGTTCTGCTTATTTGTGGGCATCAAAGTCTTTATTTGGGGTGGGGGATCACTGAAATAGTCGGGTGCTGGTCACATCCTGGGGTAGCTGGTCACTTTACCCCTATCCATAGTTTATGGTGTGGAACTGTCCGGTGTCTCTTGGACCTGGCAAGGTGTTGACAGAGCAGAGGACAAAGTTAAGTTTAGGAAGAAAAAAAAATTTTCAGGACCAGGGAATTGAGAGGAGTGTATCTGACCTGTTTAAGGTGAATCCTTCAATTCTGCTCCCTGGAACTCACAAGAATTGTTTGAATTTGTGAGGACATATGTTTTAGACACATGCATCGTATAAACAGCAGCATATTTATGTCAGAATGACTCTGACAGATGTTTTTGCACAATGAAAAGACTATGAAAGGCAGCATGAGAGAGAAATTTGATGACTTGTATTTGTCCTCACACCTTTATAACTTGCAGGTACACATTTTAATAACTTGCATTTGTATATCTTAAGACTATGAAATTTGTTTGGCGAGGCTGTCCTCTTAAACTGACAAAACCTCTCAGTTGTAAAACTATATCAGAGATCTTTGAGAAGGATAAAATTTTACTTGAGTTATTGATTAAAACATTGAGAGGACTTACTGTATTGGCTACCTAGAGCTACACCTCCGCATCCTCCACGGTTGTTGAGGGCAAGGGCATCAGGACTGTATTTGTCTTCTGCTGTTAGAAGCAGGGTATGCCAGGCTCCAGAAGATCCCATGTGTTAGAAAATCTGTAGGAAGACAAACCTACCTTGACCTGAGCAGTTAGGAAAGTTGATTCCACTTGATTCTTTGTCCACGTCTGGAGATCTTCATTTTAGATGAAATGCAGTTTGTCCCAGTGGTTAGTGCTTTAACTTAATGAAGTAAATAGTGGATGAACATTCTTCTATGCCCGTCTGTCTTCTGTCTTCTTTGGAGGAAATAGAGTGTTGCTGCTAGGAGCTAACCTGTCTCTGTTATGGAAAGTCTTTTAATAATTAAACATTCAAATGCCATATTCTCTAGATCTCTGAGCATTTGAGGGCTGTTTATTGGGTCTAGGTAACTTATGATTACAGTATAGAATCTGCCTGGAGAGCTAGGTCCAAACTTGACTGTACTGGTTTTTAACAGGTGAGATTTATACTTTTGAAAGACAAAGAATAAAAACCTGTTTGTAATAAAAGCTTAGCAGTAGAACTGACAATAGTGGAGAACAGCTTAATATATATTAAAGCAGGGTTGAATCACATATACAGTATTTTTGTAAGAGATTTAAGAGTACATACCAATTTAAAACCTGAGACTTGTTGTTTTCTTAGTGATGTACAATAAAAAGACAATTATAACATTTAACTATAAGTATATGTACATTTACACCCAGTTGAATTTAAGTTTTATACACATATACACACAAAGTTAAAGCTAACTTATGTTTATATATAAAGTTAACTCAAAATCCATATGCGTATACACACACACACACAA